CGTGGGCGCGGGTCGGTTTGGTCCGTCCCGCGCGGCGCGCTGAGTTTCGCTAATTTCTTGTGTTTTACGACTTTTCCGATCTTCCGGGACTTGTAGTTTCTCCCGTTTTACTCATCCGTCATGTTGACTTGTATGCTCCACGCGAGTTGATTAATGTACGTTGATTGACGCCATCGTGAACTGATTGACGCGCGCACTGATTGACATGCACGAGCTGAATGATGCGTGCGTGTTAACTGACTGTTGGGTGCATTTGTACGCTTTGAGTTGATTAACGCGTGCGGTCCACTTGGTGTTTTCCATTGTGGTGGTTCGTTGTCGTGTCATCAACAGTTTGCCGATTCGCTTTATGCGCTTGTCGGCGTTGGATAATCCTCTTTGATTCGGATAACGACGTTCATCACCTTCTCTTTATCTTGAGCTGTGTGCGGGCACCCATAGGCATTTTTAGATGCCTACAGTTGCCGTTGAAGTTTCTCTTTCCTCCTGTGGTTAGAAGATCTATTTGGAATCCGTTATAGAGTTCAGTTGGGTAACTTCTAAATTCTATCAAGTTTAAATATTTCTTTGTAATTTAGAGTTTGTGATTATGGGTGAAGAAGTTGGTGAAAGCAGCAAGATGGTGGGTACAGTTCAAGTTGGTTTTCAGAACACTAAAATTAGTGTGGTGAAGTATAACGACAAGATCAATTTTGGTTTGTGAATGAGCGATGTTTAGGATGCGCTCAATGCTCAGAATTTGGAGGAGACCATCATGGTCCATGAGAGGCCACCAAAATATGAAGAGGCGATATGAGAAAAGATGAATAGGAATGCTTGTGGGTGATTAGGTCTTGTTTGGAACATGAGCTGAACTATGATGTGATTAGGGTGACGTCTACAATGAAGATGTGGGAAATTCTCAATAAGTATTTTACGAAGAGTATTGAGAACAAATTGCACTTGATGCGTAGGTTATTGAGATTTTAGATATCCAGGGGAACCTCACTAGCAGTTCATGTGAACAACTACACTAAGTTATTGTCGGACTTGGCCAATGTTAATGAGAAGATATTGGATGAGTACAATGTTATTATTCTTTTGGGCTCCTTATCGGATGAAGAGTATGATACATTTGTGCTTACTTTGTTGAACGGGAGATCTGCTATCACTTATAGTGAAGTAACTAATGCTTTGACAAAGTATGATTTGAGGAGGAAGGACAAAGAGACTTTCCGCACTAGTACTTTGTAGGCATATAAAATTGCTTATAGGTCCCTTAATACAGCTCGGCACAAACCGACGAACCAACGAGGCGACGAGATCGACGAATCGCACGCAAGCAACGGAATACGTCCATTCGCGTGCGGGATTAAGCCAAGTGTTCGAAGAGTCAACGAGTCATCCAACCAAGGGCATACTCGGACGAATTACGATCGAATCAAGATCAGTTTCGGACTCGAACTCAGAAGTGGATTTGCTACCAAATCAGGAATCAAGTCAACAAATCGAATCCGAACCAATCAACCGCACAACCAAATAAAGTCCAGATCAACAACGAACAGAACTGGACAACGAACACAACGGCGCCACACCCGGACAAATCGGCCAAAGCCAAAACCACCCGAGTGGCTCGGCTAAAGCCGAACCACCAAGGGGTGGCTCGGCCATGGCCGAGCCACCCCATGGGGTGGCTCGGCCATGGCCGAGCCACCCCTTGGTGGTTCGGCTTTAGCCGAGCCACTCGGGTGGTTTTGGCTTTGGCCGATTTGTCCGGGTGTGGCGCCGTTGTGTTCGTTGTCCAGTTCTGTGCTTCGTTGTTGATCTGGACTTGATTTGGTTGTGCGGTTGATTGGTTCGGATTCGATTTGTTGACTTGATTCCTGATTTGGTAGCAAATCCACTTCTGAGTTCGAGTCCGAAACTGATCTTGATTCGATCGTAATTCGTCCGAGTATGCCCTTGGTTGGATGACTCGTTGACTCTTCGAACACTTGGCTTGATCCCGCACGCGAATGGACTGGTGAAACAATCCTCCCCGGCTATTATTTCCTTGGTGAAATAATACCCGTCGTACTGCGTAGATCCGACCGGATCTAGATCTCGCGGTGGTCCACGGCAAACAACCCCGGCGCAGGCAAAGAACCCACAAAGCGAGCGACCGCAAAACAGGAGCTCGCGATTCGTTCGACACAAAAGGAGAAAAGTTGTAATCTTTGTTTATTTTTATTTGATTTTCGTTGTAACCGGATCTTATAAAAAGACCGGATCTTTGTAATCGATAAACTATTACAAGAATTTGCAATGAAATCAATGATGAAGAAAATAACGATTTTTCCCGCGAATAATCTGGCGACCACAGTGGGAGCCGCCGATCTCGCTGCCGAGATCGGAGCGTCGCAGCCGCGGATCTCAATCCCGGTCGAGGAGGAGGTCGAGTATGAATTCGACCAGGCCAAGTTCGAGGAATACGTTTCATCCTCGTCCGGATCTGCCTCCCTCCGCAAGTCCAAGAAGTCCAAGTTCTCCTCCAGGAGGAAAACTCGTTGGTATGAAGAAGTCGAAGCCACCCGCAAGTCCAAGAAGTCCAAGTTCTCCTCCAGGAGGAAAACTCGTTGGTATGAAGAAGTCGAAGCCACCAACGAAGATCTCGCCCCGTTTGATGCCGAAGTCGCATCGGGTGAGATTCCTCCAGTTTCCAACCAGGTCAGATCTGCTCTGGCCAACTCTTCTGCCACAGAGGGCGTGGTGACTCTCTCGAAGAGAGCCCGCAAAAGGCAACGTCAACGCCTTGCGAAACGATTCGCAAAGGCCATGGAGTCAGTTGACGGGATCCGCTACAATGTGGATCTGAAGAACAAAAGAGGCAAGCAGCCTCAACAATCAACGAATGATGGTTCCTCCAAGCCGCCAACAATGGAATGGGTCCGTGTCAAACGGAACCGATCTACGCTGGAGGAGCGCATTCGCAAGTGCCGCGCACTATCAGGGCAGGCACGGGCTCAAGCTGAAGAAGCCCGTAGAAAGCTGCAGAAAGAGGTGGTCAAGAAGCCGCCATCAACCCGCCAAGTTTGGAGGCCAAAGTCTGAAGCGGTAATTCAGGCTAAGGAGCAACCTTTGCAGCCTCCAACCAAAGTTCAACCTCCGGCGAACCAAGCTAAGTCGCCGAGAATTCCCATAGCTACTCCGGGAGATCATGCAGAATCCTCCCGAAGGAGAAAGTCAGTCTTCGAGCGCCTCGGTCCAATTCCCGACGAGAGAGGCAAGGCTCCAATCCAAGAGCGTTTGGGTCCGATAAAGAATCCCCAAACGACGCAACATGCTGGAGGTCGCCGCAACCCCCAACATGACAAAGAAATCATGGCACCCAAGCGCACTATGCTGCGCATTGAAGTTCAGGAGCACACTGAAGACTCGCGCCCACAAAGGCGCGTTTCGAGGCGCGTGACTCTTGGAAGTCCGAAAAAGGCAGTTCTCCCTCAGAAGGAAACGTTGTCATCCGATGATGATAACGTTATACCTGAGAAGTCGTGCCAACACGCGATAGGTTGCTCCGACTTTCAAACGGACGAACTGTACTATCGTGCTGGGGGTACGAGGAAAACCAGGAAGAGGAGTCCTCAAAGACTAGAGGCCCAATGCCCCTGTTCCAAACTCATTCGGGCGGTATTGTCTGAGTGTAATTGCATCAAGACGGTCCCCGAAAGAGTTTCGGTTTTCGAGAGGCTCAGCACTGAAACTCCAAAGCCAAGGCCTAGGCGTTTCCGACGAAAGAGAGCGGTGGTGGAAAACGGAGAATTCCCGAGGGTCACCGCTAATATGACAAGCAAAGAGACCTCGTCACGGGACAATCTCGAGTCGATTCTGAAAGCATCCCGGCGTCTAACCCGTCAGCAGTCTGGAGCCGTCGCACGAGGAACTTATGGTAGGGTTCGGACAAGATTACCGTCGGAAGATAAAGAATCGGATTCCTGCTCTGC